CAAAAATCAAAGATCTAGCTAAAAGAGGCTTGTGTTCACCACGGTACCCCCGTGCTCTCTCTCTCTCTCTCTCTCTCTCTCTCTCTCTCTCTCTCTATTTGATGTTTTCAAGACCGCACGAGTGTGTTTTGTATTGTAGGATTAGGATGTATAGCACCGCTTTTGAGTTTTGATGTCTGAGGGTTGTATTGAGATTTCCCAACATTTTTTGCGTCTCCCCTTGCAAAATCCCCAAACTAGTAAATTATATTGGATAATGTTTTTTTTTTTAATGATCAGGGATTTTTGGATCAATTTATGAATATCTTGACTAATCATCTCTTCGATCTAGTCAAAAGAACAATCCACGCCTGAACTAGAGTATTCATGAATAATAAATCCATTGTGACCTAACTCCAAGGGATTACTAAAATTTAAACTCAAGATGTCTGAATTTAAAGTTTGTTCTTTTTACTACTTGAGCCACCCTTGAGGTTTTGAGTAATGCTATTGTAACTTAAAAATTCGTTATAATTTGCTAACTTAATAATATAATTTTATTAAAATTATTAGATTAACATCAAGTTTCAATGTTTGATGGAACCCACAATCAATTTAAAGGTTACGGTGAATTAGGTTAGCAAAATGGTTTAATGTCCCAAAAAAAATTAAAAAAAAAAAAAAGAATTGTCATTACAAAAATAGCATGCCATTTAGGGGTGTAACACTACAAGAAAATTGTTTTTCAGTGGCAAAAAAAGTCGTCGCTAAAAGTGAATAATTCGTCGTTAAATTTGTTGCGATAGGCTCCTCACTAAAAGTTTTTGACGACCAACTAAAATATCGTCGCTAAAGTAAATTATTAATGACAGAAAACTTATAGTCATTTAAAAATTCATCTATTTGTCACCTAAAAAACTTTCGTCGCCAAAAGAAATTATATTATGATCATATTTTTTCTCTTTGGTGATGACATAATATTTGTCGCTGAAAATCAAAGTACATTTTTGTGACTAACATATTTTCGACGTCAAATAACAAATTTTATAAACGGATAATACGATACGACTCGTTTAACCTGTTTAATTTTAAAAAAAATTATATCAACAAATTTTGATACTCCACTTTTCTTACTGTCAGTTGTACTTACCTAAAAAAAGAAGAATTTTTAGTCAAATTTCACATAAAAATCAAACTTCAAGGCTAAAAAAAAGGACAAGAGACCAGTGGCTTTTATAAGCAAGTCAGCCTTTCCCATCTCACATCATTTGTCGATGTGGGACAAAAACAAAAGACATTAGTTTATTTTTGTCTTTGAACAGCTCCCCATCTCCCCTCCTTTTTATCTTCGAACTATTGCTTTACTCTTTTTTTTTTGTATTGATTTCTTTACATCTTTTTTTGGCTAATTTTTTAAAATAATTATTAACTTATTATTATATTACTTTTATTTAAATGAGTAAACGTGTGATAAACGGTTTGACAGGTCTCACTCAAACACAACCTGTTTATTAAACGTGTTTGACGGGTCAACCTGTTTACCACTCAAACCTATTAAATTCTCACCAAAACCCACTTAATTCGTGTCGATTCGTGTCAGTTAATCGTGTTATGTCAGATTTTGACAGGCCTACTCATTCTCAAACAAAATCATTTCTAAAAAGTGGCATTTTATTATTACTATTGTCCTTGTAACAAATCAAAATAAATTCACTGTAGTGCTTCAATCATTGAAGATCATTATAATTCTTTTTGGCAATGAAACATAATATTTGTCATAGAATGTTCTTATTTTTGGGATAATTTTTCTTACACATCGTAAAAAGTTATTGCAGTAAAACGTTTTTTTTGTAGTGATATTCTGCGACCAAATATAAATTGTTAGCAAACAAAAAAATAATTTAACTTTTTTTCTGTGACAAACATGTATTGCCGCTAAGTATTATTATTTTTGTTTTCTTATTTTTTATTATTTGAAAAAAAATTTGTGACCAAAAAATTATTTTGGCAATAATTTTTTTTGTCACCCATAAAATTAGCATTTAGCGCCAATTTTTTTTTTTTTGGAGGGAACGTTTGCAAAGGACAAATATTTGAAATTGTCGCCGAAAATCACTTTTTTACAACAAATTTTACTGTTCGTCACCAAAATTCGTCGCTAACTTGAGCGAACTCCCCGCAACAAGTACTAGCGTATAGCATAACCAAATGGAAATGTGGTTGGGCGAAAAGAAAGGAGGAGTCGAGATTTAAAGCTTGTAGAAGAAATCAATGAGGCGAATTGAGCCCGATTTCAACCCAAAAAAATTAAGACTTGGGTTAGAATTTTTAATATTTGAATTGAGTCCAGGTAAAAAAACTCCAACCCAAATTTAATTTGGCGCGGGCCTCGAGTTGACCCTTATGCCTGTGCGCCTTCCTCCCTCACTCACTCTCAATCTCAATCTCAGATCTATTTCTCACTCTCAAATCCCTCTCCCCTGCGCCTCCTCCCTCTCAGCCTCCACCTTCCTTTCCCTCTGTCAAACTCCTCTCTTAGTCGTCACTCCTTTCATCTCAGATCAATCGAAAAAAATCAGATCTACACTTGAAAAGAGATCTTATCTCAAATCAAAAAATCAAATTTCATCTCAGAGCAGATCTACCGTCTACACCTTTCCCTTCATCGATCTCAGATCAGGTATGCAATATTCATTTTCAAATTTTTTAAGTGCAATATTTTATTTTTATTTTTAACCTTGTTATGTTCTTTGATTGCAGTGGGTAGTGGTTGTGTTGTGGTAGCGNTCAAGTGCAATATTTTATTTTCATTTTTAACCTTGTTATTTTCTTTGATTGCAGTGGGTAGTGGTTGTGTTGTGGTAGCGTAGCAGTGGCAGTAGTGGACTGGTGGCAGTGGTTGTGTCATTTGGTTTAACTTTCTTGTTTTGTGTTCTGTGTATTTTGACTGGCAATGGCAGTGGCTGTGTCAGTTGGTTTAATTTTCTTGTTTTCTGTTTTGTTTATGTTTGTGTTAAATTGGCAACAGTGGCCTAGTGGTAATGGTTTTTATGTTAGTATTAAATTGGCAGTAATGGACTGGTGGCAATGATTTTTATGTTCTGGCAATAGTTTCTATGTTATGATTTTGGGCTTAATTTGAATTGAACCCGTAAAATAACCTAAATCAAAAATTTGAATTTAACCCGAGCCCTCCCGAATTAAACTCGGGCAGTGCTCGAGTTGAGTCCATCGGGTTAGGGTTAGGGTTATAGTTGAAAATTATATATCTAAGGTTGGACTAGAGTTGACTGTCCAACCCGCCTGAATTACACCACTAATATCATTTGTTTAATGTGACCTCCCCTATACACCATTGATAGAAGAGATCTCATGTTGATGAAAAGGGGGAAGGGAGAGAATCGAAATATCCGAATTCTTGTAAGGGTTTGGTCAAAAAATATATTTCTTTAGAGAGAATATGCAAATCAAAATTTACCTCTGATCCAAATAATGGGATTACATCTTTATTTATAGACCTTGTGTCCTGCCAAAATGAATTATTCTCCTACTAAAACTCGAACAACTTGTCTCTAATTATATATCTGAATATGATAAAACTATCTAACTATAAATACCATTTGATTGAAAGTAAACAATATTCGATCAACCAAACCGCAAAAGTATAAAATAAAACTAGTAGTTAACACAAATTTTTTTACCATACAAAATCCCACGATTCAATCTTTCAATTCACTCATGACTTCGTACTCGGTTTATCTCGATTACATGCTCGACGTTCAATCGGTACATTTTATTGTAACACACGCCCCTCAGAGCCACAATCATATCTCAAAATAAACATGTCACTAAGTACGCTTGATGCAAATGCCAATACGCCTACAGTATTTCACCAACAAAATATTTTCAGCACAACAGATAAAAAAGACACATCAAACAAAAGGTCAGATGAACATCGAAAATTAATGGTTAATCAATCAATCAAAATGCAAGGTTGATAGCAATGAAATGACTATTACAAAGAGATTCAGAAACATATGCACATTATAAAATAAACTAATTATCAAAATCTAAATCACTTAGCAAAACTAATTTTGTTTTACGAGAGAGAGAGAGAGAGAGAGAGAGATTTTAGTTTCAAATAATAGACAAGGGATTTTAGCCTTTTATTTGGCAAGATATGGAAGACTTTAGAAGGAATTGAAACTCAAAGTCTCAAACCATGTAGTGAGACTATTGTTTGAATAAAAGATGGATTCTACTGCTTGAGTTAGATATTGTAAAAAAAACAACACTTTCATACTTTCTTTAATGATGACATAAGTCTTTCCATATTTTTTTAATGAGGCTACACATGCTTCAAGTGAATTCATTTTATTATTCATTGTTTTTTGTGACTTGAATAACGCTTCCATTTTGGCATTTAGTTCGGCGTTAGACACCATCTTATTGGTGGAGTGATCTAAATTTTTTTTAAAAAAAGTTTGGTGTTAATCTATGATTAAAGAAACTAATGTGTACTTTTTGGTGTAAATTCTATAATTGTAGAAAATTTTGGGGTCAATTTTATAATTTCAGGAACCTATGTTGGGAATTTAATATCATAAAATTTTGGGCCAATTCTACAATTTTAAAAAGTTATGGGGGTCTTTGTGCAATTTCAAAATTGTTAGGGTCTGACTGTTTTGACTCTTTATTTCCTTGGCTAGGCTGGGTCAATTATGAGATTGGGTCACACCATCTATGGGCTTGGGCAGAGGGTGTTTGTTTTTTGGGGTTGGGTAGTGAAATTAGAAACAAGTATAAGTCTAGTCATCTTTTTTGGGAATAAGTAAAAGTATGTACTTTTTAAAGCCTTAAGTACACGTATATACAACATATTAGATGATTGGTCCCAGGCTGTTAGTTATAAAAATTTTAAATGACAAAAATACCTTCTTTTTTTCAGTCAATGTTGAATAGAGATCAAAGGGAGAGAGAAAATATGAATATAAACAAATATTTTAACAACGATATATCAACGTCCTCTATGAGAATTGAACCCCAGACCACATGGTTAAAAGCCATGTGCTCTACTGGTTGAGCTAAGACGNAAACCACATGGTTAAAAGCCATGTGCTCTACTGGTTGAGCTAAGACGGCTTACTCTTTATCATAATTATCATATTTATGACTCTCTTTTTCTCGTTCATCATCCTTTTCGAGGATTAGGAAGATCAANATCACATTTATGACTCTCTTTTTCTCGTTCATCATCCTTTTCGAGGATTAGGAAGATCAAAACTTGATGCAATGATGATGGCACACATCCATTAATGTGAATCCTGTCTCTTCCCAAAAATGTACTGAAGTTTGATGAACAATCTGTCACAAAGAATATAGCAGAAGTTGTTCTGTTTTCAATTCGTATTGTTGCTACCAATATTCTCCTGGCAATCAATAAATTTCTAGCAAAATTACTGACCATTATGTCAGTGAGAACAAGATCGTCTTTGTTTTTCCAAATATTTTCAATATCTTTGAAGGCAAAATGTTGACCACAGTCTCATTGTCTACCAGAATCATGTTGATAGCTTGTTTATCGACAAGGGCTTGAATGTACAATGGTCGTAAATGCTTCATCAACTCTTTCTCATGAGACTGTAAGATTACTATCAAACCCTCAAGCTTTCCTTTCAATAGTGATAGACCTTTCATCAAGTTTGTTATTGTCTAAATCTTGAACACAACTGTTGCTTCTACAGTATCGTCCACATCTCCTTGAAGTTGGTTTGGCTGATCTAGCTTAGCCTTAAAAACCTCAGGCAGCGTCATGATCATTTCACATCGAGCTTCTCCTTGAATGAAGGCCAACTCCTCTCCAAAGTCTATGAAGCCTTCGTTATCTTTGGCCAACTCTTTTCCTCTCGAAGGAGAGACCCCATATGTTTTCTTCTTAGTTTCTTCATTCAAATCAAGAACTTGTTTAAACTCTGCAATCTTTTGGTCCAAAATTTCCTATCAACTCTAGACTTTTTCGACTTCCTTTTGACCTTGCTCTTTAGTCCAGGCCACATGTTGTTTTTTCCCTTTTGGGCATGCATTCTTTCAACGAATAGGTCTCCTTAGGAGTTGAAACTTGCCTACTCATCCGAGTGACAAACTTCCTATGTTCTTTTTTTTTTTNTGTTCTCCCATTCTATATTGGTCAGAGCTCTATCTAGCTTTCTAAGGATAGGACTATCTTCTCTTCTATTTGACCAGGTGTAGAAAGCTCCCCCATACCTCAAATCATCTAACTCGGCATTATCAATGCAGACATTAAACTCATCCATCCAGCTAGGCCACACGGTCGACCCCCCAATACTTTCATTCTGCTTTCTGATAGCATTCAAATCCCCAGCAACCAACCAAGGGCTACCCTCAACAAACAATAGTAGCATGGCATCCAATGTCAAGCCAAAGATCCTCTCTCCTTACATGGCAGTTTTCACCATATACAAAAGACACAAAGCAACTCCAAGTGTTGTCAATGGCATCCACTCTACAGTGTGTGACTTGGGCATTTTGGCTAATCAGAACTACATCCACTTCCCCAGGATTCCAACAAACCAAAATCCTACCCTTCCCGCCGTAGACGCAACCCGGTCCGCTTCGAGATCAGTTCAATCAGCGGCTAAGTCCGCTTAAGTACTCACTTCCGCTCCGCGGTAAGCATGCGAGTCAATTAGCCCCTTGACCACTTCTGTCTCTGAACTCACTTATAAAGTCTGACCTTTTCCCCGAGATCGGTTCATCACTCGCAAACCGGCCAGTCAGCGGTTTAGTCAACGAAAAGCAAATACAATACAAGTACGAAAGGAGCTAACCAACCAAGCTCGGAAATAGGGAAAGACTACCTAAAGNTTAGTCAACGAAAAGCAAATACAATACAAGTACGAAAGGAGCTAACCAACCAAGCTCGGAAATAGGGAAAGACTACCTAAAGACTCCTCCGCTTGTACGCTGCAGGTGCTTTCCTTCGAATCTTGCCTTCACACTAAAGGCAAGATTCGAAAGTCTTTGGAAAGCCCTAAAGGCAGAGAAGAGGGACTTTTCATTTGATTGATGTCGTGAGTGACTCCGTTCCTTTCCGATATCCGAAACCAAAGGGAACGGTAACAGGCAGACGTAGCACACGCACTCTACTAATAGCGGGAATCACAGACCAGCCCTACAGTTCCTCTCTTTCGAGAGTCGAAATAGGATCGGGAACAATAGGAATGTCAGCATCCTTATACAAGTGATAACAAGCGATCGGACTCAAAATTGGGTACTACTATAAGTCACATTCCTAGCGAGGCATGACAGAACCTAAGTCTTTACCAATGAAACATGGATTTTTTCCAATGCCAATGAGTCCTTTTAGTCTCCTCCGTCATGAAGACTCAACTAAGGCAACTCACTATTGCCACCCAAAGCGCTTTCGCCGGCTCAAGACAGTTCCATCGCGAAACTCTCCCCCCTCATTTCCCTTCATACGCATGTGACTTATCCTCTCCCTCGGTTGCTCCGTAACGGCGCCCCCACCAGTGACGCGCGGCGGAGGAACGAGCTGAATTGAACGCTTTCATCTTAAGTCAACTGCCTCGAGAAGGGATTCATCCTNTAATTGTAGGATTTGTTGGTTCTGTTAAACCAACTCCTCCATAGTCTTTTCTAGCTGCTCCACCCTATGCGTCCCTTTTTCCGGCAGGGCTAGGTTTCGCTAATTTGATTGGTGCAACCTTGGTCGTTCATTATCACGAGTTTGATCCCTAGCAAGATCTTGTGACCTTGTGGTGNTACTCCACCCTATGCATCCCTTTTTCCGGCAGGGCTAGGTTTCGCTAATTTGATTGGTGCAACTTTGGTCGTTCATTATCACGAGTTTGATCCCTAGCAAGATCTTGTGACCTTGTGGTGGTCATTTGATAATAGATGGAAAACTCAACGTTTCTTACAGACGGTACTAACCGATGATGCCAAAAAATTCTCACCGAGATCCAGACAAGTTATTGACCAATATTGTGATTTGACCAACCAAGAAAGGCAAGTGCAAAGACAAGTCAAAGACCAAAATGGCTCGGACACTAAAGTCAAAAAGAAATTTTTAAAAAAGTGTTCAATTAAAATTAGAGTTGTATACCTGAATTATCTCCAGTTCTCTTATTTTATAGGTTGTGATGAAATATTTTTGTTTCTCTCATTTTATAGGTTGAGATGATTCAACCGGTAGGGGATCCTTATCTTTTATTTGAATTGGCGTGGTACTAGTGTTGTAATGGAGGTTGACTCTTTGCTAGAATAGGAGTCTCAACTGGATTGAATTAATCAAGGTTGTGAGGAGTTAGGACTCTATCGAACTGAAGAGCTAGTTGCGAGCCCAACTAGAGTTCTTCCAAGCCTCCAAGCTCATGCCAAAATACCCATTAGCAATACCTACTATAAAATTTAAGCATACTCATTATTATTAATTATTTTTTATTAAATGACCGATTCGACCAATTAACCATACAGTTAAATTAGTGACACATCGACTCAATCATTTTGCCAGGTCGGCCGAGCTGGGTTTAATAACTATGCTATTACAGCAGTTAATTTTTTCTCTGTCCTCCCAGGTGTATCGAGTGTGGTGGCAGCACATTGTCTAAAAGAAAATAGTGAATGATATTTTTGAACAGCTTCAATTTAGCTACTGGATCCCCAACAAAACCAGAAAATCCTTCCAATAGCAGCCTGAACATACTTCTCAAAGAAACCAACAATTGTCAACTAGCGACTAGGCATGCTCTTCAGAACCCAAATACCAAACTACCCTACACTCAAAAGCGAAGCCTTGAGCAGCATAAGCAAAATAGGAAAACAATACGTATTTGTGGGGGCTTGGGTTGGGACTGTCACGAAGGAACATTACCCAAGCCAAAGTAGAGAGTTTTTTGTTGATATGCATTGATAGCATAGTCCACTTGAAAGTAACCCAGCTGGGACTTGAACCGAAGGCCATATCCAAGTCCAACACCAGTTCCTGGTTTACCATGCCTTAACGCAGGATTTCCTACAATTCCCAAAACAGACATTACTCATGCAAATAGTGAAAGCGAAAAAGGAAAAGAAACAAGATCAAAATAGGTATTATGAAGCATCCTGGCATTCATTAGTTCAAAAATGAGGATCTCAGCATCGACAAAAAAGCTATGCTAGTTTTGGCAAATAAAAAAACGTGCATTCTCACTGAATAAGTGCTGTAAAAAGCTTCAAGCAACACAAACACTACATTTTCTCAACTCCTAGATCCCATGCACAACTGGAGAAAAGAACAAAGAAAAGCAAACTAGAAAAGCTGCTATTTTATGGTTGTCCTTTTCCTGCTTAAAGTGTAGAAGAAGCCTCTTTTAGTACCCAAAACCGTAAAATGAACAAACTAAGGCCAAGATTTTCATTTTGATCCATCCTTCAGCCTCCAATAGCCATTCTCCTTGCTCATTCCATACCTCCCTGTGAGTCGTCCCCCAAGACTTAAGGAAGCTACAACCAAAAGGATGTGAGTCACTCTTAATGCATGGTCTCCTGACTACCATACGAAGAGCGCATTCCCACGAATTCCAATCTTATATTCAAGGACAATTAATTAATCAATTTGGTAATTGAGGTAGATAGGTTAGAAATTGATGATTGTTCAATCGGGAAGTGTAATTAACCTATGCATACTCCTCGCTTGGGTCAAATGTGAAGTTCAGCGTGTATAATTGTGAGGAGAAGATCCTTAACTCACTTCCCCTAATTGGTATCAAAATGTGGTTACCTGTGAATTGCACATAGGCACATTGTAGGCACTCATTGCATTCTTGCTTAATTGTAACTCTCAATATAAAGCTTTCTATTTTCCTTTTAGGTCTTTTGAAAGAAAAAAAAACGAATAACTATAACATTAATCCCGACCCCCACGGAACACTGAAAGAATCCCCGGGGGGGAGGGCAGCCCTGCCAGCTCTGATTCACTTCCAAGGGTTGCTAGCGGGAAACGCTTTCACTCAAGTTTCCTTAGCATCTCACACCTTGGAAACCGGATGGAAAGCGCTATCCCCGAGTGAAAGCAA